CTTGTTTGGGTACAGATACAGGTGCGGGCCTGTATACCTACATATCTGTACGTGAAATTTGTTTACTATACATGTAGGTCCTCAGCTCTTCATAATTGTTTATTTGTTTGTTTGTTTATTTATTCCTGCCCAAATCTGGGCAAATTGTGGAAAAAAAATATCCATCCTCAGGTGTAAAATATACCTTGTTCTACATATTCACGTTTTACGAAATGTATTGTGACTTTGATATTACGAAGTCCAACAAGTCAAGTTGATATTCAACTGTGTCATTGTACATAGAAAATAGTGTACTTTGTAGGGGACATATCAATTTATCTGAACAGATGTTTGTACTTGTTTGTTGCATTTTGCTGTAGTAAACTGAAGGATTGTATATATTTATTATATAATATTGTTTTAATGTTGATTGTATGGATTGTATACTGTTTCGTATAATTTGAAGTGCTCATGACACCAAAAAATGACATTTACAATAAATATGCACGGTTCTCTTGTTACATTCAAAATTCTAACGCCCTACCTTGGAAAAGTCAGTCCTGGCAGGCGATTTGCATCTCTACATTTTATTTTTGTATATCTATATTTTGTCCTGAGTTGACGTCACCCAGTGATGTCAGCTCAGGAAAAAGCACAGAAATGCAAAAATAAAACATAGAGATGCAAATATAGATGCCGGAAGTGGGCAATTGGGAAGCTTGCTAGAGAGTCTCCAAAAACCCACTTTTAGAAGGCCGTACAAGCTCAGTTTCTCAGTCATCATGATTGGAACAAACTTCAAGTCGCTATATTGTATGTACACTTCCGATATTTGTATGTATTTTACAGACTTATTTTGGTGTCAAGAGCACTTTAATGAAACTGTTTTTGGTTTGTTTTCACTTTGTGGCCAAAGTAATCAGACAACTTGTGTAAATCGGTTTTAGTCTTGACAAGTTTGGATTTGCGGGTAGGGGGAAAGGAAAATAATTCCAGTTGTCAGATTTAGAATAAGAATTTTTAGAAAAAAAGTTACTAAAAGTCTGGTTATGTATGTATAGTTAGATATCAAAGTATTTTCTGTATATATTGTACATGTATTTGAATCTCTCTCTCTCT